GAAATCTTTAATTAATTAATAAAGAAATAAATAAATTAAAAAAGAATTACAATCTCAGATCATCAGAATTACAATCTCAGATCATCTAATAATCAAAAGGAACCAATTATCATAAAAGTAAGTATACACTGTCCAGGTGCTAGACAATTTATTAAGAACTTACTCAGTCTTAGCAGCTAAGGTGTGCAAGAATGCACTAGCCTAATAGAACTGCAGGAGAGTACAGTAGTTTGGGAATGTATAAAATTCTACAATCGGCAAACTAACTTTCATAATCTCTAATACATAAACAAGTAGAATTCAGATCCATACTATATATATTAGTAAGCACAGCAATTACCATTTCTCAAACATAAACTATATACCAGTACTTTTAAAAGTACATTATTTCACTTAACCTAACAATAATTCTATCAGGTTATAATATTCCCCATGCTTCCCAGACAAAAACTGTAAAAGATCAAAGCGACTGAATCATCTGCCTACAACCACACAAGTAGGCACAGGCAGAGCTGAGCTGTACCATGTCTGACTCTAAAACACAAGTTCTTTCCACTCCATAACTGTAATGTTCTAAGAGATAGTACCCATAATTAGAAAGTAATAAAACCAGGCCTGGCGCAAGGATGCCTAATATAGATCTGTCCTTGTACAGTTAATGCGTTTTTTCCAAATGGTCTCAATTAGCATTTTTGTCTAGCACTAGCATATTAAAAAAAAAAAAAGAAAGCTGTGCATAAAATTTGAAGTGAGAGGCATCCTACACAACCCAGACTCCAGACTATGGTTAGTTCCTTAACATAATCTCTCTAGTGACCTTCAATGCTACAAAATGGTACCAATCCAATTATCTTGATAATATCTTCTAGGTTAAAAAAAAAAACAAAACTGTTTCTGTATATATATGCTTACATGTATGCATGTGAGTTTCTGTTTATATGCATATTTATGTGGTACATATGTGTTATTTTTAAAATTTTATTTCGTATGAATATGCCTTCAGAAGAATCATTAAAAGTCAAATGCTTGATATGAAAGACTAAAAACAAATAGTAGCTAGATATAACGGTAATGAGTGTAATCCCAGCACTCAGGAGGTGGAACCTCAAGGCCAGCCTCAGCTCCATAGCAAGTTTGCAGCCAGTCTGAGTTTCATGACTCCCTATCTTAAAACACTCAAAATAAAAAACAACCAAACTGTTCACACTGAGACAGTACTGGTATGCTTTCTAGAGCACTATTAGTATGTGTGATACGTCATGAATAGACTGTCCACATCTGGGTCTCCAAAAGTGCACTCTACCTTTAAAAGTTAAGTAACAATCGGGAACACTTTCAAAGAATGATCATCTCTATCCATGAACCAAAGGAAAAAAAAAAAAGTACAGTAGCAGAAAAAAAAAAATCAATTCCTAGTAGCTGCTTCAACTGGACTACCCCAGTTAGTACCTGTTCTGGCAGTATTCAGCTGAAGGTATAGAGTTAGCTAGAGCCCAAGAACTGCTACCTTTCAGGGAGTAATAACTGGTAGTTCTTTCATGCCTCAAGTGTTTAGCTTAATCTGAAAAGAAAATAAACCTCACTTTCAAGCCCATGAAAATGGCCTCTGACTATTTATCTCCATCCCAGACGCAAGCAATTGAAAGGTTAAGAAGAAAGGAAGGTTAAGACTGCTGAAGAAATGTTTCTTCAGGCACAAAAAGCATGAGGTTTTCAAATCTGATGAAATCAGTGCACCCAAGCAGGACTTATGGGTTTATTCTCTCTCACTAGCTCCTCTCTATTAAATGAGACATGTCTACTGAATATGGAGAAAAAGAGGCTGGGTGGATATAGTACTGAGGTTCTCAAAGATCACATGTTCCAGTTTAGTTTCTTCCAATTTGTGATTAAATATTTCAATTACCTTATTAAATTAAAACATATGCCTCAGGGTATGTTTCCAACACTCATAAAATTATAGGCCACGCCACTGTGGTTTAAATTTACAACTCAATTTTATAATTAAGTCCCAAGGGTAGGTATAAAATTTACACTCATTTTCAAAACAGTAACAGAAAAAAATCTAATAAATAAGAACATAATTTAACAAACCAAAGTAACATTATCTTCATACCTCATTTCAAAGCCATCTCCCAATGCACTAAAAATATCAGAAGTCAAAATTGGAACAAACAATTTTACTACAATTGATACAGTAAAAGAAATGAGGCTGCAAACAAAGCTCCTGAGTACAAAGTCCACGTTCTATTAAAAATCAAGACCCTTAATCAAAGATCCTGCAGAACTCCAACTTCTCAGAGATGCTTTAGCCACAACGTCTGTGCAGAGAACTAATGCCTGTGCAAGAAATCAAGGCCTGTGAGGAAGCAACACCTGTGTAAGTACTCTGACACACTCCACAGAGGAACACACTAAGAGTGAACAGTCTCACAGACAGCACCAATAGACTTCCCCTCAAGCTTAACAGAGTCTGACTTAAATCTTAAATATGTGCTAAGAAAATAATTAATATGACAATAAGGAATACATTCTGAGTATACAAGTTAAATCTGCAGTTTTACACAAACTTCTCAGAACCACATATCCCTTTGGAGATCCCACAACTCCAAAAATTACTTTCTTAGGAATTTTGTGAAGGCCTTCCTTGGCCATACAAGTATATAACTAAGGGGTTTGCTGGAAAAGTACGTTTCAGAAAAACAGAGAAACATTCTAGGAACAATTTACTTCACTAAACATCCTATAATATACAACCCATAAAATAAAATTCCTGGCCCCAATGTCATCAAGGACTATTAATGTTGACTTACCTTTAAATTTAATATCCAGGCCACTAAATTCTAATTCAACTCCTTGAAGTGCTTCTCCCAAAGTTTCATGGTAATGACTGATACTTTTTTTTGACCCTACACAGAATGGAAGTGAAAAGTATTTATAGGTTTCTTGGCGATTGTGGTAGGGCCCAACAGTATTCATCCATAAAACAACTTCTTCTTTATCTTGATACTGTAAGAAGAAAAACAAGACATGTACTTTTAAAATGTCTAATTCAATTAAGTGCATTGTCTACATTCAAGATACTAAAACGACGAAACAGTAGAAACTTAATCTGAGTACCAATGCCCACACTTTCAAAATCAAGTTTCATGGCTCTTAAAATTGTATCCTAATTGTGGTCTCAGGATCCATTTTCTCCAAACTTTGTTTTACAAAAGAAAATATTTTTTAAAAGTCCAACAGCTTGTAACAGTAGGTTTATAACTATTAAGCAATGGTAAGCTCCAAAACAACAGGGTAACCTGCACAAGGAAGGAAGAAACAAAACCAACAGTTTATCAAGAACCTCATGATTCCCCCCCACACACACATACACACACAAACTAATGTCAGCACAAACAAATACAACCTTCCCTCTCTTAGTCTTTCTCACAGATACTGATCAAAGACCTAGACAAGAGACAAATAGAGCAACACTGAAACCAACACAAGAACATGCAAAGCCAATCCCGCCTGTCAAGAAAGACCTTGCATGTATTTCAATAATTATACCTCTAACCATCAGTGAATATTACACATAGCCACATACAGGCCTGGCACAGCCAACTTTATCTTTTTATGGCCCAGCAGTTGGATATGCCAAAGATTTCTTAAAATCTCTAAAATTTAAAATTCATTGCAATATTAACTATACACTATCAGATATCTTTTTAAAAAATATTTATTTTTAAATTGTGTGCATGTGTTTGTGTGTATGTGTATGTTCCTGTGTGTGCACCCTTGGAAGCAAGAGGCATCAGATATACCCAGAACTGGAGGTACAAGAAGTTGTGATGTGCCCTATACGGGTGCTAGGAACTGAAGTCTGGCCCTCTACAAGATTAGCAAGTGCTCAGACACTCTTAGGTTAACTAACCCAATGGAACAGTATTTATGAAGTACCTAGAATGTGCCAACAACCGTGTTGGCCACTGAGGATTCTGTTTTCAACAGAATATGTCCCCCACGCTACTAATCTTTTAAAGGGAACGAATCATGTAACAGGAAGATACACAACTAGCAATAACAGGAATTTCTATTTCTAGTTCTCCCACTGAAAACTCAACAATAAACACTTTCAACAAAAATCTATTATTTTTTTTTTCTTTTTTGAGACAGGGTCTCTCTGTGTAGCCCTGGCTGTCCTGGAACTAGCTCTGTAGACCTGGCTGGCCTGAAACTCACAAAAATCCACCTGCCTCTGCCTTCTGAGTGCTGGGATTAGAGGTGTGTGCCACCACCACCCAAAATCTACCATGTTTACAAACAAATTCACCCTACTCAAATCTACCAGTTTCAACTGTTTTCCTAATGATACAATTCTCTAGCCATAGAGATTCAAACCCAAGGTTCTTTGTCTTCCAGAAAACCCCTAACTACTAATCGACTCTTACTCCAAAAGCCTGCTTCTTCCTTTATGCTCATACCACTACCACCCTAATGATACTAAATGCCTCACTGTTCATGCAAGACATCATTCAAATCATCATAGAAACAAGAATCAGGTAGCACACGGCAAGTCCTAAGTTAGATATTAAGATACAGGAACAATAAAAAGATCCTTCATCATCCAGGCATGATGACACATTAATTCCAGCATTGGGAGGCGGAGACAGGAGACTCTCAGTTTCAGACCAGCCTGGTCTATGTAGTGCATTCCAGACCACACAGAGCTACACAGCCATATCCTGTCTCAAAAATAAAGAATATTCTTCCCTCCAAGTTCCCAATCCACACAAAACTATACAAATAAATGACTAACAATGGAGGAAAAGGTTCTGATTACAGAGAACTATTGTAGAAACAATAAAGGAACAATTAATACCACTTTAGCAGAGAAAGGTCAGGGGGAAAAGGAATACAGAAAACCATAAGCTGCTTCAGGTAAGTTTAGAAAACTGCTACAGCTCATCTCCACTTGTGATGTAAAGAATCCAGGGTCTGAGTCCTGACATCTCCATAGACCTCCATCCATAACTACTCCTTTTATTTGGGGGCAGGACTGACGAATCTGTATGTATGTCATTCGTTCTCCCAAAATGCACAACCACGGAGCACTAATCAAAGTACTCCTTTCTACTTGCACATCCTCAGAATTCTCCAAACAGATCAACAACCACTTCTCTCTGATCACAGTTCCAAGAATCAAAACCTATTCACCAAGGCAAAGTGCTACACTGTACAAAAGTATTTAATACCACTGGTAAACACTGAAGAAAAGGTGAACTTTGAGTTCACTGGCAATTTAGTCAGTCTGAAGCATGCACTAACTATAACAGTATTCATTCAGAGATAAAAGAAGAGGGAGCAACACTTGCAAATGGAACATTATACAGAAGTGCCCACTAAAGAGAACCTGGCCCTGGATTCTGCAAAGTCTGTAGAAGTATTATATGCAACTTTAGAAAGTACCTTTGAGATAAACCTCAATATACATATTCTTTAGAAATAAAAAAAAATCTGAACATAATTATTTCTTTAAAGTAAGACAGTCATTTACTTTATATACACTGAAACAGTTTAAGGGTTACAATGTAGATTAAACCCACATTCTGAAATGAAGTTATCATTCTGAACATCTGTGAAGCCTTGACAGGCTGCTAAAGTTGTGCTGCATGAGTCAAGAACTGGAACAAAAAACCATGCACATTCTCGGGTCTAAGATGCTCTTTAGGAAGAGGCCTAAGGTAGCAGCCAGAAACACAAAGTTGCAGGTGAACTGCAAGAACTGTTAACAAGTGTCTCACTGCAGTCTAAGCCTCTGGGAACAGGGCTCAGGGAGTAACAGAACCACTGGAGGTGCAGGTGAGCGCTAAGGCACAAACAATGCTTCACTTTTCCAGGGTTCATTTTATGCAGTCAAACACAATGAACGGAAAATGTTTATTACTTCATTCCAGATTTTATTGACCCTGAAAGTAAGAGGTCCCAAGACAAGGTTAAGAACTCATTTTCACTGAGCATAGTGGCACATACTAATCACACGCTCAGGAAGTTGTGTCAGGAAGGTTATGAGTTTGAAGCTAGTCTAAGCTACATAGTGAGACTCTCTCTTAGTAAAACTGGAGTTTCATCTTCAGAGAAAAAAAAATGTTTAAAGATATCTTGAAGCTCAAAGAACCGAAAGGAAGATTTTAAAGAGCCTTATTAGGAGATGGGGAAGCCTTTTCTCCCCTCAAGCTGCAGACAAATTCTCTAAGCTTCCCAAGTCTGTAAGAAGGCTTTTCTTTCATTAATCTACCTGTTCGAAATCTATGGTAAAGGCTGGTCTAGCTCCTTCCCAAAACATGCCAAGAAGTCTAAGCACACACTTAAAATACTTTGCTTAGAAAAACTACACTGGGCAACGGCACTGAGAAACCGGATATTAAAATGTACCTGGGGGAAGGACTGTCAAGGAAGCATAGCAGAAGTTTGCTAGCACAGCAGTAATTCCTTCCATCTCAAGCCTCTGGAGGAAGCGAGCACAAGAGAGGAGAATCCAGCTTCTTCAGTCTTCACCTGGTCACTCCAGCCTTGAGAAGACTCTCAACTGAAGCACTACGTCCGCACTGCCCAAGGACACAGTTCTCCTTTCCTTTTGTACCTGACCTTTTCCCTCCCTCTCCCTGCAATCCACCACGCCCAGCTTTTCTCCAGCTAGTCAAATTCTACTTGCCCTTCAGAAGCACTGAAGGCTTCTTTCTCAATTCCTCGGGTAAGGCCTTAACCAGCCATCCCTAGCACAGCATGAGCTAATCAGCTCTGTAACGGCACCACACTAGCTGCCGTTTTCTAATGCATGCAGGAGCTAGGCACAGTTCTAAATAAAGTCTTTATGTAAACATGGAATCTTCTCAAAACTCTGTGAGATGGGCCATATTACTTCGCCTATTTTACACATTCAAAACAAAAACAAGAGAGACTTTACACAATTTGTCCAAGCCAGGAGTGATAAGACACACCAGTAAATCACATCCTTTGGAAGGCTGAGGTAGAAAAGAGGTAAATTTGATGTCACATCAGGCTCCAAAGCAAATTCTAGGTCAGCCTTGGCTACCTAGCAAGGCTTTGTTTCATAAAGTTATTCAAGCTTATATAATTATTAGTATCAAGTTTACAACTCAGGACTATACTTTTGCTGACTTATAGGCAGCTTTATTAACCAAAAATAAATAAATAAAAGAAAGTATAACTGTACAGAGCAACAACAGTGTACAGCATTCAATGCCAAACTTTTCATTTGAGACGTCAATCTACCCCAAAGGAAAAAACTTCAGATACTACTTACACTCTATTCTCCAAAGTCAAAACCGTCTTCTCAAGCACTCATAGTGTTGGGTCCCGATTATTCTGCTTATGTTTGAGATGCAAACCCCAAAACTTTCTTCTCTGACAGATGTCATCAATCCCCCCAGGAGGAACACTGATAAAGTGTTGCTGACCTCTTTATAAAACATGAATAAAGAAGTCAGAAATTTGCTGCCCACTAAGGACCAAGAGCTCAGAATAAGGCAAAATGCTGCCTTTCATTTTACAGGAAAGAAACATGTTGATTTAAAATGTTTTTACCAAAAAAAAAAAAAAAAAAAAGCAAAATCCATCTCTGCTAGTACTTCAGAATTTAGTTTCAAACGCTTTTCAGTTATTTAAAACCACACATAAGGATGCTAATGCAAATAAATTGGAAATGCAGTTTTGAATCATAGGTTGAGATAACCACTTTTTCTTAAAAGAGCTCTGCTCTAAACATCCAGTCCATCATTAAGTATGGCCCCAAGCAGGACCAAGTGCAGCATGTCCTACAAACCAAATCTGCATCAGCACACTCAAAGCTCCGAGGGTAAATCTTCAAACACGGTCCTAATGTTCCTAATGTTTCTTTTGACAGAGACTAAGACAAAGGCTGATTTGCCAAGCATACAAATCCTACTTCGGAGGCCAGAGAGCTGATCCAGTGGTTAGGAGCACTTGCTGCTCTTGAAGAGGCTTCAGGTTCAGTTCTCAGCACCCATAAGGCAGCTCACAACCAGCTCTAGTTCCTGTTCTAGAGGCTCTGATGCCCTCTTCTGGCCTCCATGGGCACTGCATGCACATGGTACCTTTTGTTTACATACAAGCCAAACACCCATACACAGAAAATACAAATTAAGTCTTCCTTAAAACCTTTTTCCCATATCATTCTGTGGTACAATATAAAATGTTTTCAGCAGAGCCATCCTAGGCACAGGTGGGGTCCTCCCCTTATCAGAAGTACTGAAACTACAACTACAAAGGACTACAAAGAAATGGGGTTCCAGGAGGGAACCTAAAGATGCATGACGACGACTAGGAGCTAACATAACGAATGGTCTGGTTTTGTTCACTGTGCTTTAAGCGAGCTTCATGCTTCCAGCAGAGTATCTTTGTCCCTAGCAGGTACTTAATTATTCAAGTCATTCAGTAGACACTCGCTAAGTATTCCTAGGACTGAGCACAGTCACAGAGTGTATGTAGCAGGTGTGAAGGACACAATGACAAAACATAAAAATCCCCAAGTGCTTTTCACCCACTGAGCCATCTTCCTACCCCATTCACTTACTTTAAAAGCCTTTAAAGGGGGCAGTCTTACTACTTAGCCCTGGCTAGTCTGAAAATCACAAGAGATCCAGCTGCCTGTTTCCCAGTGCTAGGATTAAAGGTGTGTCCAACCACATCTGGCTTTAAAAGACCTGTTGATGACCCCTCAGTCATGTAATAAGAGGCTATCTTTAGTGAGTAGAAGCATTCTTTAGTTTTAATTTCAAGCAGTATGTCCTATAATCTACAAGTCCAACTTTTAAAAACTAAAAGTAGCACATTCTCCAGAAGTCAACAGCACATTTCCTTCCCATTATTTTTCTAGGAATATCAGAACAACTTTGGATACATCATCACACAAAGACTACTGGGGGCGCGAATACGGCTCAATGGGTAGAGGTACTTGTTGCTAAGCCTGATAACCTGAACGTCAGTTCCAAGTCTACATGGTAGAAATAAAGAACCATTTCCCACAAGTTTTCTGCTGGTCTCTCTATGCCCACTGTGGCACATACACTCACCCACCCAAACCACGGGAAAAAAACCTAATGTAAAATCATTAAAAACAAAACAAAACAAAAGAATACTACATGGATCAAATGGCAAACTAAATCCTACTTAAGTAGCAGATACAGAAAAGGGGAACTTTGGGGGAAAGCAGTAAGTCTTCATTCCTTCTTAGAACCAGCTACTAATCTGGGGGACCCATCACAAAAATTAAACTATGTAGCTAGGAATAATGACACATGCTAGTAGCCTCAGCTATTCAGAGAGCCAAGGCAGGAGAATCACTTGAAATCATGAACAGCTTGGCCAATACTGACACCCCATCCTCATAAAAGCAACAACAAAGAACTGGAGAGATAGCTCAACAGTTAAGAGAGCTAGTTAACTCTTCTATGGCTTGGTTCCCAGCACCCACACTGAGTGTGGCCCACCACCACCTGTAACTCTAATTCCAAAGGATCCAACACCCTCCCATGGCCTCCAAGGGCAAACACACACATGTAAACACACTCTGATACATGAGCATGCATAAATAACAAATTTTTACAAATAAAAATAATCAAAAAGCATTAAGAAAGAAAGAGTGCTGTGCAGTGGTTGCCCGCACCTTTAAATCCAGCACTTGGGAGGCAGAGGCAAGTGGCTCTCTGAGTTCAAGGCCAGCCTGGTCTACAGAGTGAGTTCCAGGACAGGCTCCAAAGCTACAGGAAAACCCTGTCTCAAAGAAAGAATGAAGGGAGGAAATGAGGGAGGGAGAAGACCCTTTGTTTAAAAGTAATTTCAAGATACTTCTAAGTGGGCAATGAAACAAGGAAGTACAGTCCTGCATGACTGTTCACACCACCCACTGTACCCAGGAGCTAGCCCTATCCCTTCTTAATGCTAGTACAAACATTTCTAACAACACAGTGTGGACCTAGGCTCATCCTCACCTTGGACCTTTCTTCATGCACCTAAATGTTCTATTCCATGTCTTACAGTACTGTTTAAAAGAGAATGAGCTACAGAGTACATTACCTGAGTAGACTAAAGACATTAACGTGGCCTAGAAAGGTGGCTCCCGTTGGTAAAGTTCTCTTTCACCCACATGAGAAAACAGAGGAGGTGGTACACACCTGTAATCCCAGCACTTGGGAGGGAGAAAGGAGGGTTCCAGAGGCTTATTGGCTAGTCAGTCAAGCCTACTGAGTGAGCTTCAGGACCAGTGAGATAACCTCTCAAAAACAAAGGTGGAAAGCAACTGAGGACACACTTAACACTAACCTCTGACCTCCACATATGCACACTCACACACATACAAACACACACACAATACATATATACAAAAACACAAACAATTTTTTTTTCAAAAGACTTATTTACTCGTAGAACGTGTGGAATCATGTCCTGCCTCTCTCCCTACGGAGTGGAAGCTCCTACACATGACCACCACTCTAGACCTGTTTCCTTATCTGTTAGAAGGGTGCATCATATGCCTCCCATGGTTATTTATTTGGGGGTTCTGTTATTTCCAACTGGGGCTTTGCATGTGTTAGGAAAGCACACCACAAGCTACTTCTCCAGCCTTCACAGGGTTATCAATACACACTTACTGTGAGTCAACATATAGGGATCACTGACAACAGGACCAAGCACATGCTATTTCAAGTTGTATTAGCATTACATCTGTGATGTCTTAATAGAACGTGCTCTAAGGGGCAAGTCTTAGCTTCTGAAAGCTGTTGTTTAATTAATAATTTAATCCCACAAGTGTTTTTTAAACACCTACTCAGCATTCTTCCCCTGACAATTAGCAGTTCAGAGCACTTGTTGCTCTTGCAGAGTTCCCAAGTTTGGTTCTCAGCATTCATACTGGGTGGCTTATAACCAACCACCAGGAACTCAAGTTCCTGGGGATGTGGCACCCTCTTCTAGACTCTATACGTAATGCGCACACATTCATGTTGGCAACACAGTCACAGAAAACAAAAATCAACTTTAAAGTGTTTTTCATGGACATTGCCACTTACATATTAAATTTGCAAATTATGCCACTTTTTGTACACTTACAATTTATTAAATTATAAACTAGGACTTCCCTCTTCATAGCAGTATAAAATACAAGATTTTAAAAAGTAGAATATAAATTTGTATGTCTATATAGTGGAACTGTAACTTATTAAAGTTCAGGATTTTACATAGGAACTGAAGTACTAAAAAATTATCAAATGCTACCTAAAATACTGAAAAAAATGATATTTGCCGGGTATTTAAAAGAAATCAAATCACTCCAATATGTACATGGCCTGTACAAAAATATTACCTTTCATAAAATCTAAGACAAGTTAACTGATAGAAAAGGTAGTTTCCACTTAACTGCTTAAAATCTGAACAAAATTATCTTAAAGAATCACGACTGTCACAGAAAAACATGCTACCAGTTCAGTGTTTCTCTGAAGAAAAACTTACACATACACGCCATTAGGTTCTGGCTAAAAGAAGTCAGCTAATCCAGGCCATAGAGCAGCGAGAATGTCCTCGCTTCGTCACCGAGCAGTAACAACCGGACATTCTCAATATCTTTCAAATTTAGTAATACACAACTTCTCAGGCAAAAATCCTATCAATAAAAACAAGCATTCGCCAAGCAACCTTCTAGGTTTATCGTACTTTTCTTGCTTCCCGGAGTCTACCATGGGGTGGGGGGGCACAGCGTTACAGCTCTAGGTGAAAGTCACTCAAAGAGTCATTAAATCCAAGCTTTGATGTGAAAATACAATTAAATAAACCGCCAATCAACTTCAGACCAAATGCAAAAGTGAGTGGGGGTGTGGCCTGAGTGCTGGGTGACTTAAGGGCCCCTAGAGTCAGAGCTGCCCCAGTTAGAGAGACCGACCACCCGGATGTACTCTGGGGACTCGCCGAGCGCGGACAAAGTTACAGGAAAGGCCTGAGGACCTAGTGCGTGCAGAGTGAAGACGTGTCCACGCGTAAACCGTTCACGCCTCCGGTTCACTAAAGCTGTCCCCCCACCCCAGGGTTTGAATCCGGTTCGGACGGGAGGGAGAAGGATGGAAAAAGGCCGGAGCGGGCCGCGAAGCGATGGGTATTTCCTGGTTGACAAGCGCCTGGTGATCACGGTGCATCCATCTTCCGCCGTGCTGTGTCCCACAGCATCCAGTTTCCCCGGGTCCAGAGCCCGCGACTGGGCGACCCCCGATCCCCAGCCCCGAGAGGCGAAGCCGAGGAGCAAGGCCCAGGCCGCCGGGGGTGCTCGAAAATGCCTCCTCCTCCCAGCTCCCGCGGATCCGGCCCCGCCATGCCCAACCGGAAGGAGCACTCGGCCGGCTGCAGGGCTGCACCGGGCCTCCAGGCCGCGCCGGGCCTGGCGGGGCTGCAAGCGGGGGAGCGGATCGGGGGCGGCCGCGCGGCTCGCTTCGCCTCACCGTGTGTTCGTGCTCGTCAGACCGAGCCCGGGGCAGCAGCAGCAACAACAACGCGGCGGCCGCCGCCACGCCAGGAGCGCCCGGCAGCGGCCTCATCCTCCGCGCTCCCACAGGCCGGGCGCCGGCCCACCGACTCCTCCGCCGCCGCCGCCGCCGATTCACATCCACCAGGCGCGGACAGACGCACGGGGCCCGGGCCCAGCCGCTGCCTCCGCCGCCGTCACCGCCCGCTCCGTGCCGCCCCCGCCCCCCGGCCTCCGAGCCTCTTCCTCTGACTCAGCCACGTCATCCGGCCACCCCGGCACACGCCGGAAGTCCTCCCGACGCGGGGCCGCAACCGCCGCCGGCGCGTGCAGGCCGTGGGCCCGAAGGGTTCCGGGGCCGGTGTGCGGCCGCTCGCCCAAGCCTCCGCCTGAGCCCTCGCGCTTCCGAGCCGAAGCCGCCTGAGGCCGATGGGCTGACCTAACCCGGGCTCCGGCGCCTAGCTCAACGCGAACACTCCTTTCGGTCTATCCCAGAGAATGAGCTCCCCAAGCTTCTTTATGGAAGATGATCATTAAACTTGTACCAGGGTGGGTTGGGTGTTTTAACATCACCGAGTACTGATTGGACTTCTGTTCAATCAAGAGATGTGGGCTAAGCTGACGTTCTTGTTCATTTGTTTGCCTACGTGTTGTTTTTCTCCCATCATCCTCAGTCACAAATGTGTTCTGCTCCTCAGAGCTCCAATCACTTCTTATTTTCTCTACCTAAACCGGTAATAAGGAGCTAGTATTTCACTCATGTAACCTCAGCATTCAGGAAGCTGGACTGATTGTTGCATATTCAATGCTTGCTTGGGTTACAGTGTGAGGCAAAACAAAACAGGGAAAGAACAAAAACCAAAAAATGAAATAAAGCAGGTCATGGTGATGCAGGCCTGTAATCTCTGCACTTGAGGGGCAGAGGCAGAACTGCTGAAAGATTGGACCCAACTTTGTCTACAGACCCAGTACCAGACCAGCCAGGCTACATAGCAAGGCCCCATCTCAAACCAAACCATAAGGACTCAGAAATATGTGTCACATGAATAGACCAGCCCTCTAAATGTGGGGCTTTGGGGAAGGATTGTCTCATCCATCAGAATTCGGTAGAGTCTAGCATTTGGTCTTGTAATATCTCAACAGCCAATATTCCATACCACTGTAGTGTGCAGAGGTTTGAACAACAGCTCACTGCAATCTTCCTTCCTTGTTCATTCCCCAAGGGTGAAAATCAGATTACATCACTTTGTCCAAAACACACCTTGAGTCGTGAATGAGTAAGTCATGGAATCATCACTAATGATTTCATCTGCCAGGCCCTGTTTGATACTCACGCAGACCCTGTGCGACAGGTGCCTTAAGTGTGTGAACGTTACAGAAAAGTAACTGAAGCACACGTTGGGTGACTTACTGAAAGATCAGACACGGTTTGCTTTGTTACTTTTTTAATTTATTTTTAACTACTAATGTAATCATATTTTTAACTACTAATGTAATCATACAGCCCTTTAAAAGGTGGATCAGATGTGTACTCATTGGCATGAAATGATATCCAAGAAGTACTTATAAGGAGGAACAGTTTGCTTCTATTTTAAGTGATAACATGTTAGTTTACCTGTAGAAAATAATCTTTTGTTTGTTTGTTTTTGTTTTTTGAGACAGGGTTTCTCTGTGTGTAGCCCTGGCTATTTTCAAACTCACAGGTAGCCTCCTGCCTCTGCCTCTTAAGTGCTGGGATTAAAGGCATGTGCCACCACTGCCCGGCCACATTTTATTTTTTGAGGCACCATCTCTCACTGAAGCTCAAGTATTCTGCTAGACTGGCTGGCCAGCAAGTTCCGGGAACCCTTCTCCATTTCCCAGATCTGAACTTCCTATGTGGGTTCTTAGGATCTGAACCCAAATCCTCATACAAGCAATTTACCAACTGAGTCATATCTCCGGCCTTGTTTGGAGGTTTCCTAGAATAAGTGTGCACTACATATGTAATGAGGACTGAGAGTAATGCCCTTGCTAAAGGGTACGGTCCAGCTTCCTTAGTCTGTGACTGTCTTAGTCACAGTTCTATGGCTATGGAGAGAGATACCATGACCAAAGCAACCTTATGAAAGAGAGCATTTAGCTGGGGGCTGGGGGCTGGCTTACAGTCTCAGAGGGTCAGTCCATTATCATCACGGCAGCTAGCACGGCACTGAAACAGTAACTGAAAGCTGCATCCTTATCTCCAGGCAGGGAGACTGAGACTGGCTCTGGCCTGGACTTTTGAAGTCTCAAAGCCCTGCCCCCAGAGACACACTTCCTCCAGCAAGGCCACACCTCCTCATCCTTGTAATCCATTCAGAGGGTCCCTTTCCTCAGTGACCAAGCATTCAAATGCCTGAGCCTCAAGAGGCCGTTCTTATACAACGTTATGATGACTATGCACCTGAGCAATCGGACCCGTCTGAACTGTGCAAGTTAGCTTTTTGTCAACTTGACACAGACTAGAAACTCTTGAAAAGAGGAACCCTCAATAAGGAATTGCCTCCATCATAGTGGCCTGCGGACATGTCTGTGGGCATTTTTTTTTCTGATTTCTGATTGATGTGGTAGGACCCAGTCCATAGTAAAAGTGCTACCCCTAGGCAGGTGGTCCTGGGTTGTATAACAAGTAGGCTGAACAAGTCATGGGGAGCAAGCTAGCACTTGCCTCCAAGGTTCCTGCTTGAACTCTTGCCTTGACTCCCACCAGGAATAGACTGAGACTTGGAAATGTAAGCCAAATAAACCCTTTCCTCCCCAAGCTAGTCGTGATGTTTAACACAGCAGCAGAAAGCAAACTAAAACATTTAACAGTCACTAATACCTGTGTTTTGCCTTCACTTAAATACACATCATGTTCCTTACACCTCTGTGACCTATGCAGTGCTGGGAATGGACCAGAGCCATCTATGTGCTAGGCAAGCATCTTGCCCCACTGCTACTTCACCAATGCTAAGCCTTTGCTCATGGTATTTTCTTTTTTTAATATTTATTTATTTAGGATACAATATTCTGTTTTGCATATATGTCTGCAGGCTATAAGATGACACCAGACCTCATTACAGATGGTTGTGAGCCACCATGTGGTTGCTGGGAATCAAACTTGGGTCTTTTAGAAGAGCACACAATGCTCTTAACCTCTGAGGCATCTCTCCAGCCCTTAGTATTTTCCTTATCTAGAATGTCCTGTCTTTAATTTTGTCCTTCCAAGACCGGCTCAATGAAAACTTGCATCATGCCCTTCTTTGGGATTCCCATAGCATTTGGTGGGTTATATCATACTTTCTACCTAATCCCGCTTCCTCTTCTGTATTGCAGTCTGACCTTCTTTAATGGCAGGAGCTACCATTTGATGATCATTTGTCTGAGCTGCCAAGACAGTGCTTGCCACGTAGATATTCAACAACTATTTGCAAAATGAAAACATTACCAAGTGAAAAGGCAAATCACACGGCAGTGTTTAAAGAATGCTTTCCAGCTAGTCTAAGAGACATCGCAGGAAGGCAGGGCATGATTAATTGCTTATGAATCTTACATCAGTAATTGCTACTGAAATCAGAGGAGGCATCTTATTCATCTTTGAATATATTCCGAAGCACAGAGACTGGCTCGTAGTGGAGGCTCAGCAAAGGCTCCATGAATGGATAATCACTGGCTTTGAATGGAGTGATGATGGGCAGTTGAAGAGCAAGCAGCATGAGCACCACATTGAGATGGATGCATAGTTTCTTAAACATCCATCATCACCAGCCTTTTAGCCTCCCCAGATATGGGGCATTAGCATTTGCTGGGTTTTGTGGGGGAGCACTAAGTTGGCAAATGGTTGGAGGTGGAAAGAACACAGAAAAAATTATGAAATAATCATTTGGGGAGGGTAAATTTAAAATTAGGAACACTTACAATAGGCAGGGCATATTTTTTAAAAAAATGCACAGTAAAAAAGGGCAGTGGGGGCACATGCTTTTAATCCCTGTACTTGGGAGGCAGAGGCAGGTGGATCTCCATGAATTTGAAGCCAGCCTGATCTACAAATCAAGTTCCAGTCAGGCTATTACACAAAGAAACCCTATCTGGAAAACCAGAACAAAGGAGGGAATCAACTCCCACAAATTGTCCTCTGACCTCCACAACTGTGCTGTGGTACAGACCAACACCCCCCCACCCAAAGCCCTCACAAATGAAAAAAAAAAAAACTTTAGTTTGGAGACTGAAGAGTAATTCATGCCGTTAGTTTCCTTGTGTTGCTCATAGGATTTGGGTTTTGTTGTTGGTTTTTGTTTGGTTTGAGTTCTTCAAGATAAGAGTCTCAATGTGGTGCATACTAGCCTTGAGCTCACTATGTAGCCCAGGCTGGCCTCAAACTCAATCCTTCTGCCCTGCTTCTGGGATACTGAGATTGTAGAGATTCAGTATCACATTCTGCCTGCACTCAGTTGTTGTTGTTTAATTAATTAATGTATTAAAAATGATAAAGGGTAAGAAACAGCGGCTGTCACATAACATAAATAAAGCTCCTGGGAAGGTTGCTCGGTTGTAGACAAGCACCAGGGAAGAAGGCCCTGGGTTCGATCCCGTCTCCTTGTCTTCTTCCCCCCCCCACCTCAAAGATCCTGGCTCCGTAAGTGGTGGTGACTCCTTTAGGCTGCCTCCATGCTTCTTCAGAAGGGGTCCTACCTTGGCCTTGGTCTTTCAGACTGGAGGTGACCAGGAGCATTACTGCATGCCCAGGTCTCTGCTGCAGAGGTGATGCAACACAGAGCTGCGAAGCCGTGACGTGAGCTCCTCCAGCGGGCAGCTGACCAAAATAAAAGCCAGGCTTCCTGCCTGCCAAATGAAGATTCGCATCCTTAGACCACGCCGACTCCCATGGTGTAGGAAGATAAAGCTGTCTTCTATTCTGTGGACTAAATGAGCTTTAGCAGGCTAGCCCAGGAACCTTTCTTTTTCTGTGAGAAAATGAATTCCAAGTTGTGCCTGAGAATTGTAAACCCATCGCACACCCTCCTACTCCTCTTCTCCCCACCCTGGGAGGGAAGCCTGGTGTCTGGCCAGCAGGAATGAATGAAGACCATTTCATGTTCTTAATAACTTGCTTGGAAACCAAAAAAAAAAATACATACGCACCCAAATATTTTGCAGGCAGAGTCCTTCAATTTCGGATTTAATTTCTCAGAAACAAATCTGTGACTATTACTTCCCCCACCAAGGAGGTGGAACTTGCACACTATTGCCTGAAGGAGG